GGTCTTGTGGTTGAAGTGCCAGGCTGGGATCTGGAAGACTGGGATTTAATTCTCCTCTCCAGTGCAAACTGTGGTGTGACCTTGGGTAAGTTCCATAGAGTAGGAATTTTAAATGTCCTTTAAAATGCACCTAAATTCTATGGATGGTCAATGGGACATGTGCTCCTAAATCACTTGGGCCCATGGGTGACCGGTATAAGAGGCAGGGGAAAGTAATTAGGAATGTAAACGGATAACTGGTTAACCAGCACCTGGTCCAGCTGGATCAGCCCTCTGCCCTGCTCCCACAGTGCAGTGCGGCAGGCCCTGCCTAGCCTGACCAGGCCTAGTGCCTCCCCTGCCCAGCACAATGGGCCTGTGAACCAGTTAAACACAGAGTTTAATTGGTTAATAGTTTAAACAGGGTGGCTGGCTCCACTCACTATCCACTTCCAGCCCCCCCATTCAGCGCGGCTCTCCCAGTGTCCTGGGGCTGTTTGGGGATTCAGCCATACTGAAGCTGGGGCCACGTGCTGCCTGCCTTTCCAGGGCTAAGGAAGACTGAAGCTGCACCTCCTGTTGGAGGTGGTGGCTTGACCCACCAGTGGGGGATGAGGGGGGGTTGGCTCCCATGGGGGCCCTAATCAATAGAGGTGGTGCTTGCCTCTCTCAGCCTAGGTTCACCCATCACCCATGCTTGGTCTCCTTTGAAAATCCAAGCCTTCATCTTGTGTCCCACTTCCCCATCTGTGAGGCAAGGACACATTCACTAATGTCCATGAGGTGCTCAGACACTGTGGTGTTGGGAGTCTCTTCACAGCTCAGACACTAGGGAGATGGGCTCTCTCCCTCTGGGAAACAGGGTCCCAGGAAGACTGTTCTAAGGGGTGGGAGCTGCAAAAAAGAGTCTTTTGCCACCAGTGAAAAAATGCATATAGGAACCTGGTGCTAGGGGTTGGAGGAAGACCACAGAGGTGTCTAAAAATAAGCAGATCAACTTTCAGCTGGCCCCCGGAGTACTGAGGGGCTAGCGGGTTTGTTTATGGGTGGCTGTGATGTGGATGGACAGGGGCAGAGGGGAAGGGAGTGTCGCTAGATGCAGTGAGAGGAGACGGAGGCAGTGCTAGGTCTGGATTTGTCCAAAGAACCCCGCTGTTAACCAGGTGGATGAACTTTAAACAGGACACACTTCTTTATATCGCTAGTCTTCTAAGAGGATTCACTTGTAACGTTGCCTTGACACACTTTGAGAGTCACAGGTAACAGTGGAATAGACCTGCTGAGAAAGAGTAAGTCAGGGCCTACAGAGCATGGCTGAACTCAGAAGCTGAAGTTGAGATAAATCACATTCAATCCCCCACATTCAGAGTGCTGTGCTGGAGACAGCGAGAGAGGATCCCACGCTACCATCTGCCACATTTCAGACTCAGGCATATGGCACATCAAAGGTACAGGAGAACCTCACTAACCTGAGAACCTACGCTAAAGCTGGCAAGATCTCCCCCCACCTCTGTGCATGACAGCAAAGCCTCATGTGATGGAGACGCTTAGGGCTGTAGTTAAGTACATCACAGGGCATTGACTCAACTGCTCCATGGCAGCAGCATTCAAACCAAATGGTAACTGAATGCAGCACATCTTACAATGCGGCATTTGGGCTTTAACAGTGTGTTTTCGCTAGTTCACAAGGTTCAGTCAGTAATTCACAGGTGCTTTGCCAGTCCACATGGGAATGGGTAAGGACCTGCTGTGTGTATATATACCCTTTCTGCAGTACTCCTCCTTAGACAGTCACTTCCCAGTCTGTATGTGTGAAAGAGATTGTTCCTTCCTAAGTGGAGTACTTTACATTTGTCTTTATTAAACTTCATCCTGTTTACCTCAGACCACTTCTCCAATTTGTCCAGATCATTTTGAATTATGACCTATCCTCCAAAGCAATTGCAACTCCTCCCAGGTTGATATCATCTGCAAACTTAATATGCATACTCTCTATGCCATCATCTACATTTATGATGAAGATACTAAACAGAACTGGTCCCAAAACAGATCCCTATGGAATCCCACTTTTGTTATGTCCTTCTAGCATGACTGTGAACCGTTAATAACTATTCTCTAAGAACAGTTATCCAGCCAC